TCTGGGATTTCAAACCCTCAGGATATCATTTACAATCATTACTCACCTCGAACCGGCGAAATCTCTAGCTCTCGACGCCTTTGCCCCTCAAATCGGCCTCCACGCACGTCGAATCTATCCAAAACCAGAATGAATACGTCACAATATGCCAAGGGAACAAAGCCCAAGCGAAAACAATCGAAAAATATCAAAAACCCTGAAATTAGCAAAACCCAAGCCCCGGGCCCATTTCTCGAAACTCAGAAATTTTCACATCATTAGATTCCTTATCACCGCACGAGTTCATACATACCAAAAGTTCTCAATTCCGACCTCAAATGGTCCTTCAAATCCCAATTCAAAAGTCCAATTTCTCAAGCCCTAGTTCTTAAGTTTTAGGCTTAGTTTTTCCATGAATTTCTAGGTGGATTTCACAATATAATCGAGCTTTAGGTTCGAAAATCTTACCTCTAAACGTTTCTCCTTGAACCCCTCTTCGATTTCCTTCAAAAAGCTATCAAAAAGGCCAACTATGGAGTAAATGAGCTTCAAATCGCGGATGAAACGAATTAAAACATTCTACCTAGGGGGGTTTTGCATCTGCGAACAAAAGCCCGCTTCTGCGGAACCGCATATGCGGCCCAAACAACCGCTTCTGCGGTCACTCACTTACTAGCCTAAACCACATCTGCCATGAAAAATTCCGCGCCACCTTTACCGCTTCTGCGGAAACTGCTCACCACGCCCACTCTCGCATCTGCGGCTCCCCTTCCGCATGTGCGGCACTGCACCTGCGGTCCCCAATCCGCAGGTGCGGAGATACCAGAAACAGCAATATTAGCTGCTGCAACAAGGTTCCAACCTCTCCGTTAGCCATCCGAAATCACCCCGAGGCCCCCGGGACCTCAACCAAAAGCACAAACATAACTCAATACCTTATTCAAACTTGTTCCAATCATCAAAACACCTCGAACAACATCAAATTACTCAAAACACATCGGATTCAAGCCTAATTTTTGAAAAATCTTCCGAAATACGCTTTCGATCAAAAACTCAACCAAAACACCTCTGAATGACCTGAAATTTTGCACACACATCTCAAATGACATAACGAAGCTACTGCAACTCTCAGAATTCCATTCCGACCCTCGGATTGAAATCTCACCTACCAACCGGAAATCGCCAAACTACTAACTTTGCCAATTCAAGCCAAATTCTATACCGGACCTCCAAAACCAATTACGATCACGCTCCTAAGTCATAAATCACCCAACGAAGCTAACCAAATCATAAAAATTTCATTCCAAGCTCAAAAACAAATAAGTCAACTCTTGGTCAAACCTTTCAAATTCAAAGCTTTCAACTGAGACTGTTCTTTCAAATTCATACCGATCTCCCGAAAATCAAAACCAACGAATTACATCAGTCATAATACATCATACGGGGCAAGTCATGCCCGAGAACTGGCGATCAAAGTGCAAAAGCTCAAAACGACCGATTGAGTCGTTACAGAATTGCGGTCTGGGGTAATATCAATGTTGTATTGGAACTGTTTGACAAAGGCCTATGCCATGTAATCCCAGACATACCAGTAAGACGTGTCTTGATCCATAAACCATTCGGAGGCTACTCCCGTAAGGCTTTCCCCAAAATAAGCCATCAACAATTCTTCATTTCTTCCCGCACCTCTCAGTTGATTGCAATACCTTTTCAGGTGGGCTCTGGGATCTCCATGTCCATCATACTTTTCAAATTTGGGAGTCTTGAAACTAGGCGGCAAGTGGACATCGGGGAACATACATAGATCTTTGAAGGCAACACTCTTTTGACAGGCCAACCCTTGCATGTTTTTCAACCGTTGTTCTAAGCTTTTCACTCTTTGGGTCATTTCTTCATGTACCATCTTTCAGGCAGGCTTCTCAATGTTTGCAGGAAGATCAAACGAGTACGAGTGGTACTCAGGAAAGTGGTACTGCTCTTGCTGTGTAGAAAATTGTGACTCATGATGAGGCTGTCCTTGACCACTAGCCCATGCTTGACACATTTTGGTCATTTGCTGTTTCAGTATTCTATTTTTCTCAAACACCGTAGACTCTTGTTGAACCCTTTGACCCTGAGTCTCTTGAGCACTGGTAACAGCTTCGATGTCAGTTATCATTTTTCCTTGAATCTTGTGTTTCCAGCTTACCACAAATCGACCACCTCAACTTTCTTCACAATTCAAAACAAAACATGTTAGAATGGACTCAGTCGGTCCTTATTATTATCAATATTTTTTCATTTCTTCATTTTTTCATTTCTTTTTAATAGTGATCGAACCCGATGTGGGTTGTCTATGTATCATGTGGGAACATGAATCAGATCTTGCGTAGTTCGGGAAGATCAGGAAAAAAGTAAATAAACCAACTTTTTTTGGATTTTGAACTTTTCGAAAGAAAGACATATAAAGAAGAAAGAAAATATTTTTTGGATTTTGATTTTTCTTCAGCATTTTTGCAAAGAAAGACTTCTAAAAAAGAAAGATTTTTTTTCCTTTTTATTTTTGAGTTTCGACTTTTATTGATTTTTTTTTTTTGGAATTTCGATAGGAAAACTTCTAAAGAAGAAAGAAAAATAATTTTGCATTTATGGATTTTTATTCTAAAGTTAGGAAAGAAGTACTTCTAAAGAAAGAGAAACTATTTTTGAATCTTGAATTTTCTTTTTAATTTTCGAAAGAAGAATGAAAATATTTTTGTATTTTTTGATTTTGAGAAGCAACTAAAAGAAAATATTTTTTGTATTTTTAAAAATTGGGGTCTCAAAGAAAAACTTTTCTAAAGAAGGAAGAAAAAGAATTTTTGTTAGATTTTTGAAAATTGGGGGCCGGAACCGATGAGGTTTGCCTACGTATCTCACATCCGGTGAGAATCAGACCCGGGTAGTTCTGTCGTTTTGACGGAAGAGGAAAACATGACACTTGAAAATTTTGGCTCGTTTTGAAATGACTTTTTTCAGAATTTTGGCAGATTTTCAGAATTTTCTAAATACCTACCTCTCACTTTTGTTTCTTTTTTTTTCGATTTTGATTTTTTTTTCTCTTTTTTTTCATTTTCTTCCCCTATTCTAGAAGCCAGTCAACATGCAAGCCGAAATAGACAAATACACAAGTAGCACGTAAGATGCATCAGGATGGTCTTTTAATTTGAGTACACCTGTCCTAACCTCGGAAATACAGAAGCTTCATCAGCTTTGCAACTTGTCCGAACCTCGTTCTAAAATTAGGATATGACTCTAACAGAAAAGAAGTCACACAAAGTGCACACTTCCCAGATGATTTAGAAGACTTAGAGAGAAGAGGGTTTTCGTAACAGTTTATACACAGTTCAAGCAATATTAAAGTGGTAAAAAGCGACATTTAGCACATTAGGCTCAAACACGCAAAAAATCAGATAATAGATAAAAGCCAAGTATAATAGTTATTCTAAGCTCGAATTCTGAACCCTGAACCAGAGATTCTGGGTTCTGTCCCTAGCAGAGTCGCCAGAGCTGTCACACCTCCATTTTACACCCCGAGAGGGGGTATAAGGGAGTTTTTCCAATTTAAGTGACAATCGAAACGGGATTATTTATATTAAATCAGAGTCGCCACTTGGGATAATTTATGGTGTCCCAAGTCATCGGTTGAAATCCCGAATCGAGGAAGTTTGACTCTGTTCTACAGTCCGCGAACACAGAAATCCGGGTAAGGAATTCTGTTAACTCGGGAAAAGGTGTTAGGCATTCCCGAGTTCCGTGGTTCTAGCAATCAACTGTTATTATTGGCCTAATTATTCTGATTTTTTGCACGTTTTAAACCTATTGTGCCTTTTTAACCTTTTAGCCGTTTTTATTTATTTAAAGGAAGATGTCAACGTCATCTAAAACACGTCTTTGGATCACGCCACATGAAATGCACCCGCAGTCCGAGACACATTTTATTTAACGTTGTTGAGATTTGGATTTGGGTCACATAAATGCGCACCTGAGTTTAGGAAGGTAAATTTTAAAATACGCACCTAAAGCAACTACGCATTTTTCAACTTTGCGAGGGCCATGGAAATTCAACTAATGGCACGCCTTAATTGAGATTTACGTATCATGACCATGCCACGGGAACCGTACTCACGATCCACAACGTGCTTATTTTATTTAAAAAAGATTAAATTATGGCTGGGTCACATAAATGTACCCCCCGAATTTAAAAATTAAGCATCACAACTACGTCACGGGAATCGTACCCGTAGCTATGATGGTTTATTTAATTAACGCCGAAAGGTTTACTTACCAAAATGTGATTGGCCTAAAACATGTTCCTAACAATTCAACCCAAAAGCAAGAACGAGGAGTTACGAAATTGTCTTGAGTCCAAACTCAAAACATGATCACTTTAATTTTCAGTCCAAACCCACAGCCTAAGACTTTTAAAACGCCTGAGCAATCCATCCATTTACTTAATTTGTTAACTTAAGTCTTTTGTATCAAAATGCTAATTGTGAAACCTTAAGCATATATCCCTTAATGAAATGACGAAATAGGAAAAGCAAAATAACTTATTTTAACCATGAAGATTGATCATATTCACTTATTAGCACAATGACTGCTCTTTCTCATTTACAAAATTTGACCACTAAAATCAAAGAAAAGTACGTTTGGTGCCATTATGTGCTCATCCACACAGAGCATAATCCCACAACACAAAAGGAAATATCCTAATCACTAAATAATAATAAAATATTTAGTGTACTCAACACCCACTCCTATCTTTAATGTCAAATTAAACTAAACAATCTACAAATAGTAATTGGCAGACCAAAATTTGGTAAACAAATACTACTAAGACACTCCATTAAAGGTTTTAACTCGAACAAATCAGAGATGTGCCAGTTGCAAGACATTCGTAGAATAACAATTAAAGCAAGAATTTTAATCCAAACACAAATAGCATATATGAGATAATTCTAAAAGAAAAAAAAACAAGAAAAATAGAGGGAAGATGGGACCTCAAATGGAACCAAAATATTCTTTGAGATTTGATCGATAAGGAGCAGAATTCCTTTGGTTACAGCAACATCAAGTTCCGTCCTTCAACTTGGATCAAGGAATAGACACCGAAAAGAACCTTAGACCGAAAAACTTCAGTGGCGCCGGAAACTCGAATTACACCAACCTCGCCGGAATTCGAAATAAACTAGAAAACGAGACCAGCAAACTCCATGACAGTAACGGGTGGTTTAGAATTGTTTCAGGATGTTTCTCTGCGAAAACAGCAACAGTTCGAGCTGTTGTTCCTATGCCAAGATGAGGCTGCTTCTCTCGTGTGTTTTCAACGCTGGGTTTGGATCTGTTTTCGGAGCTGATTTGAGGAACTGTTTCACGGAGGATTCAAGCAGGTTTCATGGTTGTTGTAGCTGTGATAGACGAAGAAGAAAGAGCAGTGGCGATGGAGCTCTGTGTGTTTTCCGGCGTGCTCGCCACTGACTGGTGAGAGGAGGAGTTGAAGAAGAAGATGGAGAAGGGTCAGCTATGGGTGTTTTCCGGTGTTAGGCTGCAGAAGTTTAGTCTTCACGAAGAAGAGATTACATAAGGTTGAGGGGGGGTCCGAAACATTTCCAAAAAATGGCGCTACTTTTGCAAAAAAATTAGGCGTCCTCCCCCTTTAGATATTCTCTTTATGTAGAGTCTAGGTTTAGGTTATTATTTTGTGTATTTTGCTAATTAGTCCCTACGTCTTTTTGTGTTAAGTCTTTAGGGTCTTTTTTATTTGTTTTTGTTCCAAAGAAGAGTCTAGAAGGGTCCCTAGGCTTAATGGACTAATCCGAATTGGGCCAAGAATTGGGCTCCAAAAACTCTTAAAATTATGATCCAACACCTTAATTGACTTATTTTAAAATAAGATAAAAATACTACACCATGCAAAAGCTAACATGAAACTATTATATATATTTTTTTGTATTTTAAAAATTATATAAAGATAAAAATAAGGTACTATTTTTTGTTTTTTTTAAAAAAATTTTTATGAAAGATACATACTAAAATAGTTTTTTGTAATTTTCCATTTTTATGACGAAAATAATGTAAAGAAGTCAAAAAATAGTTGAAATAGCTATATTAGGCCTAAATTAAATATTTACGTGCTAAAATATGAAAAATTTTGGGGAGGGTCAAAAATCACATGTCTACACAAACTTCTTTTTATGCCTCGTTATCAAACTCATGTAGTTACGAGATCATGCCAAAATGAAGGAAGGGCTTAGCCTTAACATACCTAAGCCGATTCTCTTGACAATCCCTTTAACACACATCAATTGCAATCAACACATAATGGCATATCAAAGTAGGGGAAAATCTGTATATTAAGTAGTCTCCGTATGAAATGCCCGAAGCAATAACGTTGCTTATGGCAAAATCATCTTTGATGAAACTCTTTTTAAGAGATGTAACATTGTTATTCAAAGAAATATTTGCTGAAACTCTTTCCTTAGCAATTGATTTTGAACTAGAAATGTTACTTTTATCCTTTAGGTAGGCCCCACTTAGGATGACTAACCTTTCCTAAAGGCTTCTAATTTGTCTACCTAAATGTAATGAATCTTATTCATTACTTGGGGCTGCCACGTTGGGTTCCTTGATCTTATCCAAGGTTGTTAATTAATTACCCACTCATTTTAATTAACTTGTTAATTCTCCCATTAACCAATAATCCACATAGTTTAGAATTATCTCAAATTCCTTAAAATACTGTAAGCACGTGATTTTTTTCCTATGAGAGAATTACTCCCAAAAAATTCAAAATAAAACAATTTTCCTTTGTGTGCAATTTTAGAATTTTTGTGGCATTTTTGATAATTATTTGTATTTCTGTCTGTGCGTGTTTATTGGTTAAATTAATAAAAAATTACAAAAATATGTCGCATTTGCATTTAGTATTTATTTAAGTTTGTTTTACAAAATCATAAAAATAATGTACGTTGCATTTTTAGCATTTAACGTCTAAATTGTGTGATTTTTATAGTTAATTGCTATTTAAATGTGCGATAATTGTTATTTGGACAGATTTTTGAAGTTATAACAGATTTTGAATCAGGGCAGTAACAGTAGTTTTAGGGGTAATACGGGAATTAACCAATTGCAGATTATTTAATTATGGTGGGGGA